ACATAAAACTCAATTTCAGTTTATACAGGTATCTGAAATCGGTTTTGAAACCAGTTTCAAGCCCTGCCAATAAGTGATGGGAAATTACACTTACTTCGCAAAGGCCGATTTAAATTCGTAATGTATGTTTGCATTGTTTAACAAAAATTTTATCTTCAACCTAAGTTATTTAGAATGACAATTTTTAATTTCAATTTTAAAGAATTTTAAGATGAATATGTGTACTATTTTTAATATTCTGTGAAATAATTACATTACATTGGAGCACATCATATTTTAAATAGAAAAAGTTATTTCTAAATATCGATGTTTAGTAACTTATGAATTCAACCTTTTTTTTAAAAAACAAATACAATTGTACTTCTACTTCAGTAAGTACCTATGTTTAATTTATTACTGCTTTAATAGTTTTTATAGTTATGCAAACAAAAATATAAATTATATTACGTAAAATATATTCATTTTCATTGGCATGTGTATTCGCGAGTGAGAGTAAAACACGATAGCGTATTACCTATATTAGTAATTTTATCATATTAGTGGTATTACATACTAATTTTCATTAACCAATTACAACCAATCACACACTGACACACGCACCCACACATGTCATATGAAATGCCTAAATATTACTCCTTAAGACATGCTCCGTTCCACCCTAACTAAGAAGAAAACCATAGAATTATCATTAATCCATGATGCAGATAGCAGGGCGATGCTATTTCTAATACCGTCGTTAAGCAGCCCAAAAATTATATTTAAAATATTATCACTTGATACAAATCTCGTGTTCTCTCAATTTTAGTAATTAGTAATTGGTAAACCGTATAATACAAGTTTAAAATATTATAATATAGTAATGATTTTTTTTATGCAACACCTATTATTTTGGAATAACTTTTGAAATGTTATATACTTATAAACTATTATCTGTAGAATTATAGACCTAGAATCATAAAAAAGAGTTAGGTATGTATACTATGTATATTGTATATTGCTGGGACACCCTGTACACTATGTATACCATGTATAGTATCTAAATTATTACGATGGAAATATTTTTAAAATCAATTGTATTATATAGAAAATGAGATATTTATCATCAATTATTGGCCATTAGTGATGGTCCGTCCACCACTTACAATAATGTTTAGGTCATCAGCTATTTCTATGAAGTATTAAATAGTGCCTACTTAATTTATCAACAATAAAATTGGCTTGCAGTATTGATTTCAGTAGTTGTGCTTCATAGTGTTTGCCACAAAACGTGATTAGAAATTGCCTAATTTTTGTTGCTTAATATAAATAGCCAGCCCAATACAAGTTCTATATATACTATTATATAGTACTACATACAAACATATAATTACACAACATAACATATTCATTATGTAATAGGTATCTGATGTACTTAAAACAAATACATATGTGGGTATAGGGTGTATGTATTTATTATAAGGCAATTATTATAGGTACTTTATTAGAAATATAATAAAATACCAATCACTTAAAAATTTAGGCTGACAGATCGGCCCTCAGAATGAATTTTATTTATTGAATTTAAATTTAACACGTCCCAAATACAATAAGATACCTAAATACGTCTCTACAGCACAATGACTTCCTGCCTGGTTCTTAAACAACTATGTTAGGTAAGTAAAATGTATCAAATTTAATAATATTTAATAAGTATAATATACTTCAATTAAGCTATTAATTTAATACTATCATAGCATATAAGTGTAATGTACCTGTATACTAATTTAAGTTATTATTCATAAGACATCAACGATATGAGTGATGATATATAAATATATTATAATATATTACCTTTGTCACATATCAGGTAATGGAAATAATTACCTACACCTTATAATGACCTCTACAGAACATATTGTATACACTCGACTCTCGATTATTCGAAAAGTTTGGTAATTCGAAGTTATTGCTCTTTCTCTTAGAAATCTTGCAGTAATTCAAATAAAAACAATGCAATTAAGTACCACTCCGTAGTAAAATGTTAGGGAAAACTATTCGTCAACACAAGACAATTCGAAATTCAACGCTCGACAATTCGAAGTATATTCACCAAAATGTATTTCTTATAATCTTATCATTAATAATTTAAATTACAATTGTGTATAAATTTAAATTAATATTAATTGAAGGGGTTAGTGAATGAAGGTGTTAACTCAACATTTTGAAATTATTCTGCAGGATGACAGTTTCAGTGGTTTAATAATAATATAAACTTTTGGAACTTTTTAACTGTTCAAATGCAAAGAAATTTTTGTAAAACAAAAATTATGTATTTTAAAGTCATAACCAATACTCTGAAATTTTATAAATTTTATCTGTTCATATGATATTAGGGAATATAATACAATAACACCTTAGTCCACAAAACAAGAACGACAGATTTATATAACACCATTGTCAATTTGATATCTCCATAAATATACGTTATTTTGTTCTGATATTTGTAGGTATAGCCTATGTAATACTTCACGATACCTACATCATTTATATCTATATCTACTATATCTATATCTATAACTATATAACTATATAAAACAAAGTCGCATTTTTTTTGTTCGGGATCAACTCAGAAACTACTTATCAGATCTTCTTGATAGAGTATTTCACAGAGAATGTTTATATGAAATAAAATTTTAGGAAAATCCACCAGAAAAGTAGGAAATATGGAAGTAAAAAATACTACAGTAGCGCCATCTGTCCAGAAAAAAATGTACTAAATAATAAAATAAAAATAAAAATCAAGAAGATCTGATAAGTTGATAAGTAGTTTCTGAGTTTATCCCGAACAAAAAAAATCGACTTAATTTTATGTAGTAGTATAGTTACACAAACTATAATTTTAGCGCTTTGTAAATTAAGTCTATTAAATAAAAAAAATTGCAATAACCATCAACTTTTCTATTGATACAAATTTGTTTTCAATATTATGAAGAATCCGCGGTGGCGACGCTAAATTTATATGGCTATACGTGACTAAAAGTGGTATAAAATAAAAATTATTATTCAACATCCAGAAAATAAATAGCAAATTAATATTTGAGAAATCTTGCAATAGCGAAGCATTGCCAGGTCAGCTATTTTGTATAATAATAACAATTTTACAAACAATTTCAGTTAACACCTTTATCCCACCAACCCCTTCAATTATAACTATAAAATTATTAACCTAGCTTTATTTTTTTTCATAACTCTTGATATGTTGAACCACTCAACAATTCGAACTCTCTGTAATTCGAAATTTTTCATAAGTCCCAGAAACTTCGAATTATTGAGAATCGACTGTACATCTTTGTCTGCGTTCAATAATAATATTATGATTATTTTTTTGAAATTTTATGTTCAATAGTTCATAAAAAATATGTATTTTCAATGTTTTAGATTCAGAGAGGAACGATAGGTGTATTGATTTTATAACAATGTGTGTGTGTTTTTTCTTGTGTCATGCATCATATTTTGCCAGTTAGGTAGCTAAAAATAGAAAAATTAAAACGACGATTCTATAGTTCATATTGTAATCAAAAAATCTTAAAAATATATAAATACAGTATTTTCTAGATTCTAAGTGGATTGAAAATATGTATTGATTTTACAATGATGTGTGTTTTTTATGTTCTTTTTCGTCTGTCAGTATTTTGGGTTGTAAAAATGCTCATATTTTTGTGATCAGCACAGAGGGTAGGTAAAAATTGAAAATTTCAAGTAGTTTTAGAAAGCCTTAAGAAAAACAAAAAAAGTGGTGATTTTTACCCAATTTTTGAAAAAATCTTTTTTGGTGTAACTCAAAAACTTTAAACCTTTGAAATTTTTACAAAATGTTTATATTAGCATTTAAATGAATGGTAAGAATTTCGAAATATTTTGACTCTTTTTGAGCTAGTTATAGCTTTGAAAAATTTTTCGCAATTTGTAAATTTTTTTTAAATTTTTCTCGATAATATCTGTTTTACATAGTAAACAGTTGAAAATGTAATTCAATGTTCCGTATAAGTTTCATTAATGAAGTTCAAAAATATTAAAGAATCATAGGCAAGATTAATTTTTATATATGCATTTTAAGATCAAATTTTGAAAATGTATTTTTAGTTCAAAATTCATAAAATATTTTCCTTTCATAACATTAGAAAATTTCCTATCTTAAACAAAAAAAAAAAAAATTACCTGAAACTAACAAACATTTTGTAATGCGCGTTTGAATTTAAAATGTTTACGTTTGGTATTTTATTTTCATGGGTAAATTAACGGATTTTCATCTATCGATTTTTTATATTTTGTTGTACCTAACTCAAAAACAAATAACCCTAGAAACTTGAAATCTTTACCAAATGTTAAAATAACCGTCTATATAATATACTCGGTAAATTCAAATATTTTTTTGAAACACTATTTGAGCTATATATAGCCATGAGAAATTTTTAAAATGTAAATTATTTTTCAGTTAGAAATTCATAATAGTGATATATTACTGATTACTAAGTTATAAGTTATTGTTGGGACGTGGTAAGCAAGTATAAACATTTGATTATAGTAAAGAATGGTATTTTATTTATTGTGGACTGTATAACTTTATTCAAACACTAGCCTGAGCTAAGACGCGATGCGCACCAGTAGTGTGCTTTCCGTGGCATGGTTCGAAACTAAACTATTATAGTCGATACTCGATATATTGAAAGCGTATCGTTAACGATCGATCGCCGCGACATCTAATCGGTTCATACCGATACCAACACTATCGCACCTCGGAAACCGCACACTGACACGCAACATGCCGCCCGCCTTGAAACATTGATTTCAAATGATAGACAAAAATAATTAATAAATGTTACAATTACAAAAGAAAAAAAAAGAAATAAATAGATTGCGTAATAACCATTAATAATAATACAATTATATGCTGACTCTAACAAACAAAAAAAAAAAAAAAAAAAATGAACTAAAGTAGACAAACAAATTTATATAATGATCTACTCAGTGCCGTTTTCTTTAAACGGCAATGGACACAATTGTCGAACTGCCCGTGTGAACTGTCCCGTCGTAGTTTGGACTTCAGCGACCCGCACCTCACCATCATCACCAGCAATAACCTTTGTAACTCGCGCTAAACGCCATCTTAATGGAGGGAGGTTATCTTCTCGCATTAATACCACGGTACCCACTTCCAGTTTAGGTCCCTTGGCACCGGCCCACCTCTTTCTCTCTTGTAGCTGATTCAAATACTCACGACTCCATTTCTGCCAGATAGTTCGTGAATATTGAGTCACGCGACGCCATCTCGACAAATGGCTTGTCGGTATATTTGACAAGTCGGGTTCCGGTATCGATAAAAGTGAGTCGCCTATAAGGAAATGACCTGGGGTCAAAAAGGACGTGTCGTTTGGGTCGGATGACATAGGAGTAATAGGTCGGGAATTTAGGCAAGCTTCGGCACGCGTAAGCACAGTACTAAGCTCTTCAAAACGCAAGTGAGCGTTACCTACAGTCTTCTGTAATAACTGCTTCATGGACTTGACCGCGGCTTCCCATAACCCACCGAAGTGCGGTGATCGCGGGGGAATAAAACGCCATTGAACGCCGAGGTCTGTTAACGCGTCATGTACCTTTTTTTTATTTTGTTCCGAATGAAATAGATCGCTCCATTCCTTCATTTTGCGATTTGCTCCAACAAAGTTAGTCGCGTTGTCGGTATAAATAGTAATACTTCTTCCTCGTCGGTCAAAAAAACGATTTAATGCGTTAATAAATGCTGGTGTGCTCAGATCTCCGACTAATTCCATGTGTACTGCTTTTGTTGAAAAACAAACAAAAATACATACATACGCTTTTACTAAAGGGGCATTACGCCGCACACTTGTCTTGATCATAAAAGGGCCGGCAAAATCAATACCACAACTTGAAAAAGCGCGCGTCGGTTCTACTCGTTCCGCGGGTAGATTGCCCAAAATCGGCTGCACGACTATTGGTTTATAACGGAAACACGTTACACATTCATGCACTACACTTCTGGCTATATTTCGACCATTTATCGGCCAATATCGTATGCGTATCGAGCATAGTGTCGCCTGTGGACCTCCATGCATGCATCGCTTATGCTCATACTCAAATAATAACCGTGTAAAGTGACAATCCGCCGGCAATGCGATTGGATGGCGCTGATCGACGTCTAACGTAGAGGCATTTTTCAATCGTCCTCCTACACGTACAATATTATTTTCGTCTAAAAACGGACATAGTCGGAATAATTTACTCGATACGGCTACCTTATTTAAATTAATCAAATCTCGAATTTCACGCGCAAAAGCTTCCCTTTGAATACATTTTATTATAGATATCCGTGCTTTGTTAATTTCTTCGATACTTAACACACCGTCGAGTTTTGAATTTTTATGCGACAGGTTATAACAAAAACGTAAACAATACGCTACGACGCGCAATAATCTATTTAAAGACGAGTATCGGTTTATCAGTGACGGATATTGCGGTCTTGCGTCGAACGTAGCTAAGGTCACTGACCGCGCTTCAGGTATTTCTAAATTTAGAATATTTTCGTTTTTATTCGATTTAGGCCAGTTTTTTTCATCGTTTACCAACCAATCAGGACCATACCACCACAACGATGTATTGGTTAATTTGGACGGACAACAACCTCGAGAAATAATGTCAGCTGGATTGTCTTTCGTGTCAACATGATTCCAATCAGCTACCGACGTTTTTTCTTGTATCTCTCCCACGCGATGGGCAACGAATGTACGCCATTTTGTTGACTGAGAAGCTATCCATGCTAACACTATATTCGAATCAGACCAAAAATATTTTTTGCTGACGTCTAGTTGTATTTTTGGAATAACTCTACATGCTAGTCTCGCCAGTAGTACCGCGGCGCATAGTTCTAATCGCGGTAGCGATACGACCTTGAGTGGCGCGACCTTTGATTTTGCGCATATCAGCTTGGACGTGTGTACGCCATCTGAATTTGTGCTACGTAAAAATAAGCAACACCCATAAGCTTCAATGCTTGCATCGGCGAAACCATGAATTTGAATATTAATTATGTTACCGTCACCCTTAATTTTTCGTGGTACAACCAATTCATTTAATGACATTAACGAAGTTCTATACTCTTTCCATTCGTCCTGAATACTATTTGGAAGTGGTTCGTCCCATTGCACTTTCAACAGCCATAGCCGTTGTAAAATTAATTTAGCACGAACAATAGCTGGTCCGATCAATCCAAGTGGGTCGAACAAACACGCTATCTTTGACAGAATTTCGCGTTTCGTAATTTGTTTACTGTCTTTGAGGTGTTCTTCGTGTACTTTGAATTGTAACGTGTCCGCATTGGAGCTCCAATATAATCCGAGTATTTTTATTATCGAATTATTAATAGCTTCGTGTGTGGCGATATTTTTACCATCATTAACATCTATCGACAAGTCAGAAATTAACTTAATTTTATTTGACGTCCATTTTCGTAATTCCAACCCCGCCGATCCCAAAACTTCAATGAGTCCGTCACGTAGTTGTATCGCTGCTTCTAAGGTGTCAGCACCACCCAAGAGGTCGTCCATATAAAAATCGTGTGTTATCGCGGCGTAAACTTCAGGTTGTGTGTTACGTACCGTTTCCGCTAGTTTATTCAAGCAACCGGTAGCTAAAAACGATGCGGGTACTGTTCCGTACGTAATAGTGTTTAATTGGAATATTTTAATCGGTTCACTTGGGTCCTCCCGCCATAGTATTCGCTGAAAACTTCGATGTTTGTCGGCTACCCAAAACTGTCGGTACATTTTTACGATATCGGCTGATAACACGTAGTTATGCGTGCGAAATCTTGTAAGAATGAATAGTAACTCACCTTGGAGAACTGGTCCTTTTAATAACATGTCATTTAAACTTACGCCATTGTCGGACTTACATGACGCGTCGAAGACTACTCGCAACCGCGTCGACGTGCTAGACTCTTTCATAACCGCGTGATGTGGCAAGTAACATGTATTGACGTTATTGGTGTAATCATCGTCGAATACTTGTTCCATGTGTCCTAATTCCTTGTACTCATTCATAAATTTAATATATTCATTTTTTAGTTCTGTATTATTTTCGAGTCGCCGCTCGAGAGATAAAAAACGTCGTTTGGCGATATCGTATGAATTTCCTACCTTTAATATGTTATTACGAAATGGCAGGTGCACAATGAAACGTCCGTCTTTACCACGCGACACAGTATCGTCAAAATATTTTTTGCATATTTTTTCTTCTGCTGTTAATGGGGCATCAATTATAATTTCTTCCATACGCCAGAAACAAGGTAATGTATTTTCCAAAATTGATTCCGTGTGTGTCGATGTAGTATGATGAACGGTACTATTTGTCATTTCAGTTTCACGTTCTAAGCTCGACACCGGCCCCGATACAACCCAACCCAACTTGGTTTCTTGAAACACCGGGCCGTTACGATGTAGTTTTATTTGTCGCTCGCATAATAAATCATAAAAGTGCGTGGCACCAATTAAAATATCTATTTTTTGAGGAACGCGGAATAACGGATCGGCTAGCTTGATATTTTCCGGCATACCACATAGATCGGTAATATTTTTTGCCGGTAAGTCGCCTGTAATTTTTGGAACCACTAGCATTTTTAACGAAAAATTGTAATTATTGAAACGGGACTCGAAACGCGCGTGTACGTATGAGTGCGCGTGTTGCGTAATAGCACCTGTACCGTTTATTTGATGATTCGTTTTAATTTTTTTTAATTTCAAGGCTTGAACAATTTCTTCAGTTATAAAATTACTTTGTGATCCCGAATCCAATAGGGATCGACATAAGACTGATATTGTGCACTTCCCTATTGCTCGCACGACGGCCGTTGATAATAGTACGTTCTCGTGATCGACGCTGGACGCATGCGCACTTGTCGATGTATTTGCTGCTTGTTTATTTGAAGCCTCATCCGAATTCTTTGCATTGTATTTTTGTGGCATAATTAAATGCAGTAACGTATTATGTGCTTTATGACATTTATAACAATTATTTTGCGAAAGACAGCGTTAAACTTCGTGTTTGCGCAAACATACCTTGCAGAGTCCTAGTACATTAACCCTTTTTATACGCTCGGCTACTGTTAACGATAAAAATGAAGGGCACTTGTAGATTGTATGTGACAAGTCACATGCATAACATTTTATCTCCGATGTAGATACTAACGATGTAGTAATGTTATTGTTTTTACCAAACTTATTTTTTCGATTTTCATTTTTGTTTTCATAGCCCAAATCAACGATTTTAGAAATGTTCTTTGACGACTCAATTGCTTCCAAAACTTGTGAACGCGCATCTAAAAATAATACTAAATCTTCCACTTTAGAAATTTCATTTTTTGGCGACTTCATCTCCCATTCACTTAGAGTGATCGCGTCCAACTTAGTGCAAATAATATGCGTCAACAGTGGGCCCCAGTTACTTGGCTGTTGTTTCAACGCCTCTAGCGCGGACATATGACCCCGTAATGCGTCAGAAAATTGTCTTAAACTACTTGACGAATTTTCTTTTACGTCACTTAACTCACATATGCCTTTAACGTGTGACTGAATTAATAATTTTTCGTTTCTATATCTCGATATTAACGTTTTCCAAGCGTACTCGTAGTTGTTTGCCGTTGTTTCAAGATTTTTAATGCAACTCGCAGGTTCGTCACTTAAAGATGCACGCAAATGAAAAAATTTTTGTATCGGCGTTATTTTATCATTTGTATGAACAAACGCCATGAACATATCGTAAAACGGTGTCCAGTCCGCGTACTTTCCGTTAAAAACTGGTATGTTTAGCGGGGCCAGTTTAATTGTCGATGACGCGGGACCGCTGCTACCTACACGCGATGACATTCGCGGGGAAGCTTCCCCTTGTTCATTCGTGTTTATTTCCGGTCTATTGGTGTTCGTCATTTGCTCAGCTTGTGCGATAATTTCAAAATACAAATTTTCGAAGTCTTCTCTGTATTCGGAATGATTTGTGTGATTTGCATGATCTAAAACCTCAATCTCCGACTGTACACTTTCAAAATTATACCATGCCTCTTCCACTTTTTTACGCCGTGGTACAACTTGAGTTATGTTACATTCGGCCGATCTAATGTAAGTTTGAAATCGCGTCAAGACGGCCTTGATTTGGCCGCGTCGCGCCGTCAACGCAGTAATATCCCCCATATTATGATACCGTCGTACAAAATATAATATTAGGTAAAGTGATATTGAGTATGTTAACGACCGCGACGGCGATGTGTTTTGTGCCGTTTGTCTCGACGGACCTAATCAGCAAATACCAGATAAGCTCAGATAAGCGCGCGTGGATTTCGATTAATATGCTATATATTGTACTGTGACCTACGCTAGCTTGCCTAATTTTCGGGAATTTCACTCTTTATTTTTAGGGAAAGAAATATTAAATAACTGGAGGAAATAGGCTAAACTCTTACCCGACTTTTTTGGCTCCAGCTCTGCAAATTGGACTTCTTCTCGAGAGACAATCTATGGTGTACTGGTTGGCTGACCTTTTGAAAATAATCTTTTTTATTTTTAAAGCCTCGTACTTGAGTTGAGACACGAACTAACTATTTTTATTAATTAACGATTAACGATTTACAAGTTAACGAATTACTAACGGATAACGATTACGAATACGAACGATAGATCAACGATGATCATGAAACGCACGATTACACTGAGCGTAATATTAATTTATTTTACTTACTTTATTTAGCTGTTAAAGGCACGCACTACGCCACTACGTTTTACTTCCTTTTAAACCACGTGGACGAACGATAATTTTACGAATCCGGTTCGAAGGACCATGTTGGGACGTGGTAAGCAAGTATAAACATTTGATTATAGTAAAGAATGGTATTTTATTTATTGTGGACTGTATAACTTTATTCAAACACTAGCCTGAGCTAAGACGCGATGCGCACCAGTAGTGTGCTTTCCGTGGCATGGTTCGAAACTAAACTATTATAGTCGATACTCGATATATTGAAAGCGTATCGTTAACGATCGATCGCCGCGACATCTAATCGGTTCATACCGATACCAACACTATCGCACCTCGGAAACCGCACACTGACACGCAACAGTTATATTATATTTTATGATATGATTGTGATTCAAGCAGTTTATTTTATTATTACACATTAGTATTACTGTAGGTTTTAACTTTTCAAGTAGGTACCCACAAATAATATTTTTAAATTATAACAATAATATGACTAAAAGTAATTTACAAGTATTACATTTTATATTTATATATATTTATTTAATAAACGGGTTTTAAACCCTTTAGCAAAATACAATCATTGTGAGTACAGTTTCAGCTATCTTATAATATATATAAATGGATAACAATTTAAGAAAGTATGAATTAGTAATTATGGTAAACAGCGAATATAGAATAAATTATATAAAAAAAAAAACAAAGTATAAGTTATTAAATTAACAAAAAATAGTTACAATAGAACCAAGAGGTGTATAATAATTAAAAAAACAATAAATAAAACAAGTAAATTTAAGGCCACATAAACATTATGTCTAAATACATGAGGTGACATACTAAAAAAATCAACATGATCCATTATACAGTTCACCAAGGACAGAGGCCTGGGGAAAAACGAAATAGAAGCTCAATTGTTTTTACAAAGATAAATATGAAATAAATTGGAATCTATTAATCCGTAAGCTTGTATATTAAGACCAATGAGATATAATAGCTCTGGAGAATAAATAAGTCTATTTAATAAGTCATATAAAAACGTTATAGTGGCTTGGCGTGGCGCGTTGGCTGCTACCAGTCGAGGAATGCTGGGAGTAAGTAACGGCCACAGCTACTAGCTCCCGGATGGGTGACCACCCGGGTTCATAGTTGTTAAGAACCTTGCCACACATACACGTGTTTGCTACCTACCGTAACAACCGTAACAATCGTAAAAACAACCTACCATACCAACCTTACCCCTACCACAGTTCATAACCAATATAACAGCTATTGGCCTAAGTCGCCATGCTTAAGTTCAATAAAAATAAAAATAAAAACATTATATCCGCAACATTTTCCTCAATTCACAGTACGCGATCCCCAATTGGGTAATCTGCACATTATATAAATCACTTGTAAGGGGTAAATTTAATTTAAAACATAATAGTTTTAAAAATCTATACTGAACATTTTCAATTAGACTAGTATACGAAAAATAGTGCAGCAATTGACCCCAACACAAAATGAGACCTAACCAGGGAAAAGTATAATGTTATTAACATTATTTTAGACTCTATAGATTTACAGAGTTTAATTTCATCTAAATTTTAAATTAAAATGTCTATAAAAAGGTGTTTATACATATTTTAAGATTTTATGGTAGTACTGTAGTAATAGTATAAATTAATTATGAGAAACCTTATATTACATTTAAATTTTAAAAAAGCTTAAAAGACTTCAAAATAATTTGCAAATGTTCGTTGAATATGAAGAATATTGTTCACATTTTGAGGTACTTAAATGCTTATTAAAAATTTTGCCAACGTATCGTTAATATTTTTAAGTTGCTGTCTATTATAAAAACTTATGAGGAACCGAAAATTGTGTAAAAATTTGAACTTTAAGCCCTTTTAAAAAAAAATTGTGACTATATTTTTAATATTTTTTAATTACTGTATGGACAAATTAAGAGGAATATAATACTAAGTTATCAAACTTTTTGATTATGTGGAAAACTTTTTATCGACTTTTATAAAAAAATAAATTTAATTGAATGTGTCTATAATGAGCTCAAAGCAATATAAAATATTTTTAAAATGTAATCTTGTTTGGAAATGGCTCATATAAACACTTAAATGGTTCTACGGTAAATAGTTTTTAAATTATAACAAATAAATATCGATAATGTTTAAAACTAGTTTTGTATATAAATGTAATAGGTAATTCCCATTTTTTCTTAATTTTAAATTCTAAGTGGAACGATAATGAATGTATTAATTTTACAACTATTGTGTGTTTTTTTTCATAGTAGATACAATACATTTTAACTACATGTTTATGTATTAAAATTTTCTGTACACCATAGAATTTTTAAAATATTTTGAGTTTTTGACTCTTTCTAAGCTATTTATAGAATATACACATAAGAAAAAGAAGATTTTTATTAGGTTTTAAAGTTTAATACAAATTTGTTGTTAGTGGAAATTAAAAAAATGATATCATAAATCCACAATAGTTTTTTATGATCGTCTAAATTTGGAATTTTGACAAAATTCATCAAAATCACAAAAATATGCATATTATTTTAAGTTAGAAGTTCATACAAAATTTTCTATTTAAATCTAAGATTCTAAAATGTTATACAATATTATACTCATAAGTTTAATAATGGAATATAAATTAAAATTTATTTTTATCAGTGTCTTAAGTTAAGATGTTTACAACATTGGTTAAATACCCGATTTCTCAGAACGATTTACTTACCTACTATTATAATATAATTCAAAAACTAATATACGTAGATATTTGAAAAATTTTCCAGATGTTTTTATTTTTACTTTATAAAATAGTTAAATATGATGTACATTATAAAAACATTTTAACTTGTTATAAGTTATTTATAGACATTTTCAGTTTTCCTTTTTTTTATATGAATAAACATTGTTCTTAATAATATAACCTACGAAATATAGTTCAAATTGAAAAAAATAGTAGACCTATGTACATTTGTGAATCGTGTCACACTGATACTGTGACATGTCAAAATAATAATAAAAAAAATATTAAACCACAATGTGCAATGCAATTACATTTTAATACTTACATAATAATAATAATAATTAAAATACAGTATGCAGAACCATAAAAAAAAACAACGTAAACAAAATATAAATAATTAATTTAAATAGTAGGAATAGCAATACCAGTATAATGAGAATTCGTGTTAGTTTACAAACATGTTTAAGACACAAGAGTCATGATTATTCAACATTAAAACTAAATTGTATTTGTTTTGTACTTTTTACAATCATGCCCTTTTGTAAATATTTACTTGTAATTATCTATGTACATAATGACTAACACGTTATTAATGCAAAAACAAAATGTTTGATATGTATATTTACATGTGTGTATAAAGTGCAATATACATATTTATTTATAATATCAAAGTCAGTTCAAACAGAACGAAAAAAATGTATTCAAACATTCGTGCTAACACTTTTGGACCATGTGGAAGAACACATGCAAGCACATACTCACTTTAGATATATTACGTGCATTACATGTCTTAACAGCCGCATGTGTTGTCTTACAAGTGCGTAACATGGCAAATTTAAGCTCAGCAGATTAAGTTTAGCTCCGTTAGTTTAAACATTTTTTTTTACGATAGTTCGTTTTTTTAGCAAGTTATGCGTGCATAATGTAGCGTAAATTAAAAATGCTCATAACTCACGTCTTAAAAACTGAACAATCGTAAAAACCCATGATGTTAAACTCGAGGAACTATAAATGTGACAAAGTTTTATGGTCCTATACCTAGGTAGTTGTGTACACAGTACACACCCAGGTATTGCATTACAGCTGCTCCTGGCATGAGGTTGTATCGTAAATTACACCTTATCTTGAAGGTATCATAATATTTATATAGTGTATTATTATAATGTAACAGCCTCTCAATCCCTCGCCGCCGCCGCCTCCCTCATCTACATCCGCACTCGTCCACTGTCATATCCGGGTAGTTTTTCATCACCAAAGTTCCATCGTCGTCTTTGTAAAGCAAAGTCTGCATACTCAGCTTGGTCGGCACGCAGCACGCCCGGGGAACTCTCGCAACATTATATGCGTTTATATACGTCTGGATTAACGCGTGGTTAGACCCGTTCATGTGATCTGCCAACGGGAAAGTGCACTCCCCGTGGCAGTAGAAAGCTTCGTACCCCGGCGGCGCCTCTATCCAATCGCTGAACCCAATTTCTTTGAAATCCACATACATTGAATGCCTCTTGCAGAGCGTCGATTTCGTTTTCTTCCGCTGCCTCGCCGGAGCGTTGGCCGATCGTTTGCTCCGCCGCATCATTTGTTCCATCGAGCTCTTAGCACCTGATTCAATGACGCAATGTGTTATAATTATAATTCATCACATTATATTATTATTATTATTAAAACTAGTATCCAATGTATTGTTATGTTTCGGGTTTAATGTCTATAATAATGTTGTATTCGATGGATTCAGTATAGGAAGAGGCGTATTTCTGTAATAGCCGTTGGGTGCCAATAAAATATGAATTAGTTCTAGTCACAATCGTAATTTACTAGTTAAAAAAAATAGCAGTCAATAACAAAATAAAGTAAGAAAAAAATTGAATAAACCGTAAATGAATGGACCTTAAATCATAATATATTGACGACTTCAGAGACTATAGTATATTAGACATTAGTATGGGTATTTGGTATTTTGGTAGCGTATTAGCGCCATTAGGAGTAATTTTGAATATTAGAAATTGCTTTCGAATAACATTGAGAAACTGCCGAGCTTAATAAAGCGGGTCACATCTCACACTTTTAAGCGACCCAACAAATATCAAAACCTATCAAATTATAACCGTGCTGTTAGAATAGTATTATTCTTAGTAAGAATTTCTTACTTGTTCCGTCGTCGGTGTAGACCAATAGCAATGTATTTTCAGGTGATACAAAATCAAACACGCTCAGCAAATGTGTGTGACTACCAGATTCCGTGACGCATTGAACTAGAATACCATGGTTATCTTTGAAATTGTTCTTTGCCAGTCTTTCTATAAATGGTGTTACGTCAAAACTTTCGGTCATTGAAATTGTTGACATATTAATTGATTTTGAATCCATAATTCTAAATATTATAAATATGAAATGAATTTAATGATAATTAAAAGCAAAAATATTTCTACTATATATTATGTATCTATAACCTATTATAACAGAGGTATTCTAACTGTGCGTCGTGACTTTAAGGGTCATCGCGAGTATTCATTGTGTCAGAGGAACTATGATAGGAATAAAAATAATGACGATGGTGTTTAATATAATATTTTATCCTAAACGTAAAACATTTAATTTCAGTTTTCTATTTATAAATATTATTAAATTAGATAATATATTGACATAATTGGTGTATTTATAATATATATAATAAAACAGTAAACCAAATTTTTCTTTCTGTGTCCTACTCATTGGAAAGCCACTAAAATTTTGTAAAGTAATAAAGAAGTCATGGATTAAACGATTTTGAATACCTCTGACCGGCGACTGTTCAAAATATCTTGGTCGATATATCTTTGGTCAAAATGTCTTTAAACAAAAATGTCTTTGAATAAAATATCTTTTATACTAATTTTTATCAGCTCATTAGTTATTAGTTTAGGGCCTTTTAACGCCTTAAAATATACTTAAAAATTCCTTAGATAAAATGCAATTCCGACCTAAAAAATGTTATTTAAATTAAGTAAAAATTGCTTTACAAATGTGAAAAATTTAATTAATGCCCTTAAAAAATGCATTTAACCCCAAAAATTACCTAAAAAAAACCATATTAATTTTCGATGGTTTTTTTTTTTTTGGGTGGGGGGCATTATTTAACACAATATTTATCCTTATTAAAATTACGAACATGAAATAAAAATATACGAAATACGATAGTGGTGTAACACGAACTCACTAATTATTTGTTATTCATCTGAGTACGGGTGACATATTGAACAGATATGTATTAAAACCAACAAAAATAACAAAATAATGCTTAAAATTCTCAAAAAAATAAAAGAACTTTGAAATATGCAAAAAAAAACTCAAAATAAAACTTTTAGCTTTAAACAACTCGTTACATGAAACGAATTATGTACTTGGAAAGCATTGTCTAAGATCAACCAAAAAGAAAACATATTGCATTGAAATCCACGCCCTAGTTATTACTTATTGCCTATTGGTTAATACATATCGTCGATCGATATTTGATGATAGATACAATTTGAACCTAGACGAGTAGTCTAGTAGTATAATAATTTCTAAGTGTTTACTACATGTACATACTATGATATTAATATAAAAATAGTAGAGGCCTTATCTGTTGATTAGGTGGGATTTTCGTAACTACACGGTAGCTGGGCGTTTGAGCAGCTTTATGCGATTGGAAAAACGTTTATCGGGATAATAAAGTCCAAACGACGTAAACAGTAGAAGAAGCATGATAATAAAATAAGAAAAATTGTCAAAAATAGCTCTGAAATAACACCATTTCAATATTTAAGAGGTTTAAGTTACAATATTCAGTATTAATCACTAATTTTAATTAATTTTTAAATAATAATAATGATTTTGATTAAATTTTGAATAAATTATGATAAATGGATTAGGTTTTTTAATAACAATATAAAATTCTACAATATATTATATGTGATTAAAGTTTAAAATATGATAAATGGATTAGGTTTTTAATAATAATAATAACCCTCTAAAAAAGCTCTAAACTTAAAATGTTCAATAATATAATATGAACAAAAAATTTTAAAAAAATAATAATTTAAAAAGACATTTTGGTCAAAGACATTTTTATCATAAGATATTTTGACCAAAGATATTATTTCGAAAATATTATGACCTAGTACCCCTCTGACCTATACAAAATAATTGTTCACCGCCTCTTACTTGAGAATAGGTTTTGATAGGCCCTTCTCGCCAGGTTGTACTATATCATGTAAAATCACATGAATAAATTCTCCATTCCGTAGCACTTGATCGTATTTCATTGTAAAACGAACTTCAGCAGCTTTAACCAGGTGTTGTTTCGGTATAGAATCTATATCAAACTGTAGCCTATATTTTTTAGCCTTAGCTTTAATTGGAGCTGACCCTATAACAATGTAATTATGATTTACAATTTTTTCAATATATAATAAAACAATATAAATAAATATAAAAGCAATAATTATGCTCATTATTTGTCAACTCTATTCTACTAAAATATATTGGCTCAAGACAAAGTAATATTCAATATATTTTATTTTAATAAAAATATTAAAGTTATAAAAACAAATTATAACTTATTTGTAATATAGGTAATAAATATTTTACCTAAAATATAATAATTACATTATACATATTATGTACCATATTTAAAAACTTCTTAATTACCTTTGTTGGAATAAATTCTGGCAGTATTGGCAGACGTTGTGTTCAAACCAGGAAAAGAAAAATGCGTTGTCATTGCATTGTTTTCTTCTATCATTGATTTATACAGCTCCATTGTGGAAGAAGTTATCTTCATATTTTTCTCTACCACAGGTCTTTGGGTTGAACCTAAATATGAAAACGATAATTCAATACAATTATTTCCATTCAATCACGGTTGAATCAGGCAATTATTTCAATAATAAATATAATTTGTATAATGTTTACCTAATTTCATAAGTACATTTTTTCCCACTTCTTCGTATCCGCTGATGGCCGACAATCCGTTGTGCAGCATACCCAACAGTAACATTAAAATAATCATTGTATCTAAATTCAAAACAATTTCTAAGTATACTAATATCAATGCTGCACAATATACATATATAACAAAGTATTATTTAAAATTTAAATATAACCATTAACCATAAGTTATACATAACATATAAATCATAATAATATATTATAATATTATATTACGTATTATAAATCATATTTAGATACAATAAAATAGTAAATACTACCCACATTTTTCATTAATTAATGCATTTTAAATCATCTTACATTAAACAATGGAAGCATTGCAGGTGTACAAATGGAGTATGCATGGATCTATTATTATTTGATTATTGCACGACCCCGTATGCGGGTTAACGTTCTTTATAATCATGTTCGAAACAATTATATCATATTTAAATAGTTGATTATGATAAATTATAGTATAATCAGTTATCTCTGTCATTGGTAATTGTTTTTTTATTTATAATTTATGTAATATAATGTAGATAGAATAATTATAATGCCGTTTTTCAATTTAATGATTTTTTTTTTAAATTTTTGATTTGGTATATTATTATACTACATATTATTATTATGTATCTATACCTTGTATTATGTTATCTTTTAGGTTATTACTAGTTGTTATGTACCAATGTTACTTACCAGCATATTAAAATGTTTATTCATTTCCTATCATTAAGTCAATATATTTGTTATTGTCAGTGTAGGTCTTGAAGAAGAAGGGGGTGCCCCACATTTTAACATTTAAAAATGTAAGTTTTAAAAAGGGGAAAGTAGATAACCGCTCTGCTGTACATACAGTACCTATATGTGTGGACTGTACCTCGTAATTGAGTAAGCCGCTGTATAATGTGTTAAATTGTAAATCATTGCATATAAAAAACGATACTGAGTGAAGAGGGTCTTTCAACCATATGCCCATATCATTAAGTACATTTTATGATGTTATAATAATGTATATTTAAAAACTGAACTCATTCGGGTTCATGTTAAATATAGGTGTATATATAATATATATATATAAGGAACTCGTTCACATTCGTTATTTTTTTTAAGGAACAGTTTCCCGATCATTGAAGAAATTAATTACTATCCATAGAAATGATACATCGGTACACCACACGGTGTATAGTGGCTAATAAATTATTACGAAAAACAACATGATAAAAAATACAAAGTATCATTCGAATATTTTTGATTTTTACTTTGTATTGCTCTCTAAAAATATGAATTTCGCTCATGTTCACACTCTATTAATAAGAAATTAGAGATGTTCACGAACGCGTTTTTTTCAAACATATATTTTAGCAATATGATAGGTTGAATTATTTATTTCCAAACATGGCATTCATTATGTTATTAGTATTTAATTAATTATTATAATAGCACCTTTATAATATTATCATGTATTACTGATATTAACTATTCTGAGACAATATTGACTTAAAAATCACCATATTGTGTAGAACGATGTGAGTATAGAGGTTCATTGGTTTACGGAATAAATAGTCAATAGTCAATGTCATTGTGACATTGCGTATATTAAATATTATAATAATATAATTATAGGTAGATATATAAAAATTCAAATCCCCACAACAAATATGTTTGAATTACAAAAAAACAACTAAATTTGTTTCATTGTTTGAAAATATCTAATTATTATGAATATTTTATCTAAATTTTAACTGTCTCTAAAAAAAATGTGCTTGTATATTTTTTTTTAGATATTTTGGTTTCAATATAATCAGCATATGAAGAACGTACCTAGTTGAACATTTTATACGTTGTTAAAAGACAAAAGAATTAATAAAAGACATATTTGTGTATGGTGTTTAAAGATTTTAAAAATGTATAGTTGTATTCGGTCACTCACTGGCCACTCGTCTGTGCTGTCATTGGAGTATAATTGCTCGAAACAAAAACAGAAACTGTGACTAAAATTAATTCAATTGAACAGATTTTAATAAAATTACAAGCCACTTAGAAATTAAAAACATTAAATTAATTATAAAGTTATAAAAATCAATATTCAAATATTGTAATGATAATGAATCTGTACTATACTACTATTCTATTTAAGATAAATTGGAAACTGATAAGTAGGTCCCTGCAAGGTTTAACAATTTTAACTTCGTGATAGGCAGTAACCCAGCCCGATTATTCATTTTTATAATCATCAACAGGTCGACAAAACGTTGCTATTACCATAAAATTGTGTAATTTTTTTTTATCAGACCATATTCGTATTAATGTAATACATTTTTTAAATTAATTTATTTTTGTACAATGTAGTTCAGAATTGTTTAAAAAGGCAAATCGCAATATGGTAAAATGATATATACTCGGTCTAGAAGATTTTTGTATATATATATATTCGATACGCTGACCAAATTGCTGACTTGTGTGTTAGCCATATATATATAGGTACTGACGCGTGCCACGTACAGTATGCAATATTTACTGTTTAATTACAAACACTACAAAGTACAAAATATTACCATTGTATCATTTGGCGTACTAACTATAATGTCTAACAGTATGCTATTATAATATTATGATGAATAGAATAATATAATAATAGCGGCTTACCTGATGTGACTAACCCCAATGACGCCATTTCAGAAAAAAACCATATACGTTGAATCGGCGACGATATACAATAAGTATTATGATATTTTATAAAATAATAATATCACAATATTATGAACGGACGTTGTACGACTCGACATTTGCCGTATTAAAAAGAGGTTCGGACTGTTAAAATAATGGTTAAGCGCTTATTTAATTATAATATATTGTTATTGTATTAATCGTATAATGCAAAAGAGCCGAGACACGAACTAGTAATACATACACAAGACGCACGCGCTGTTGCCACTGCACACGACCGAACCGAAAAGGAGATTACAGTGAAATTATGACCGCAGGGCTTCGGAGGGTTCTGCTGAACCATTGTGTACGTATATAAACATAATATAGTGTATATATTATAATATATTCCCAAGCTAAACACACGTGTGACCGACACCGACCGACCGCGACGCCGGAAATCGGTAGACAAACGGGCGCCCGCGACTCGGCCCGACGCTTCGAGCGGGGGATCGTCGGCGGGTGTGTGCGAGTGCATGTGTGCGCGACAGTTTTGGGGTGGGGTTAAGGGGAGTTGATGGTCAACGGGGCGTGGTTTACGTATTTTTGGAAACCAGATTTTTCGGCCGACTCTGCTACGACGATTGTGTACACAACAACACAACGCATATTATTATAGGCACAATGTTATAATATTATTACTGTACGTTCCCGATGCTCGAGTCGCGGGAAAATAAAGAGTATAAATTAATGTATAATGCAGTTGGTACAAAGGGACGCGGGAATGAGACAAACGTTTCTTTGTGCGCCTAAAGGTGTATACTGATTTTTATCGATACCTACGCGTTCCCGCGAACACTCGACGAGCGATTGTCATGGAAATCATTGTCGTTTTTAATCCTTTCAGTAACATTGTCGCGTTACTATAGGACCATAATCCGCTGTATACATTACAATAACAATAGTGTGTACTGTGTAGGTACCTAACGTGTATTCATAATAATATACACTCGTGATCAAGACTTACGAGTCTAAGTTTTTTTTCGTAATATACTTAATTATTTTGATATTAACGGATATCCAATATAATATTTTACTCATATTTGTCATTTTTTTTATACCAGGTTCTCATTTGGCTACCACCTGTATAATGGTCTCCGAAAGTATTATTACAGTGCCTACGGTAAATTAGAAATATGATATTGTAATATTCTCTATACGATCGTCTAGATAGTTGATAACCGACGATAATAATAATACTGAGACGAAATAGGGTTGTATTAGGTATTGGAATATTCATTATTCATGTAAAACGTTATACACCGTTCCGTTCAGTTGTTTGGACACGAGTCGGCTCGACGCCGATGTCCAGCTGCTTTCAAAGTGGGTAAAAGCAGATGTGTACGGGCCAGCGGGCGGTCATGGAGGTGTTTTTTGTTCCTTTTTAAACGAAGTTTTACGAATGGCGGCAAATGTCAATTCGATGATAAATGTTGGTGCCACACGTCTGTAGTTATGGTTGCCGGCAAACATTTGACAACAGAGACCCAGTCCCTATATATATGATAATATATTATGTATACCCATGTATGTATGTATGTGAGTGTGCGCTCATGTGTGTGTGTATGTGTGTAGTGAGTATAATACGTATTATAGTATATATTATAATTTATAATATTATTATATAGTATATGTTACTATAGGCTGCGAAACGTGCAGGTGCTTCAGGACGTAGTCGGTTCGTTTTTAAAAACATAATACCCATCGTATACACTATATAGGTATTATTTAATGCCATGGTTCGACCATATTATACCTGAAGATGAAAAAAAAACATGACCAGGACACTAGGTATTATCGTATTATTGTCCAAAATACAATTCCAAAAATATTAGAAATTATAAAGAACGTTTGGTACGGTACTTACTTATTTTTATGGTGATATTGTAGTATGCTCAACATTACAATAATGATAATATCATGATATTATATTATAAATCACAATAAGAATTATGATTAATTAGTAACCGCTGTTTAAAAATAATGTTTTTATCATAGATTTATTCGATCCCTACCACAATCGACTAGGTACTGCAATATGAGCTGCGTGTATAATATACAAAGTTCTTCATTACATACCTAAGTTTCGAATATCTTCAGATCCACTTTCCACTGGATAATTAAGTTTGCCTTCATTCCTAAATCCTAATACAAAGAACATTAAATCGTATGAATCTCCAATAATGGATTGATTTTTTCACAGCGATTGGGTTTTGTTTCCTCCTCTTCTCGTAAATAAGTATGTAAGTATTGTGAATAATTGCACGTATTAAATTAAAAGTATTCCTAGAATCCTTATTTTTAATTAAATTTTTTTTTATTATAATATACACAAGCCCTGCATTTGATCATTGGCCTTGATTAGCGTACCTA